GACGTGAATTCTGTGAATATAAATTTCAGATTATATGCATAATCATTTCATATACCCTGACTTGGGAAATTGAAATAGTGAATTTCGCAGCAAACGAAAAGGTAGGAAAGGTGAACGTGTTAATGGAAAGGAAATTGTATGTTTCATGAAATCGTGTTAGTTAATAACGCGTTCAGGAAAGTTTTCCTGAAAGACTGTACGCTTTTAAACACATGCGTGAGGAGAGATTTTTAATGAGGTTGTTTGTCACTGGTGTAAGGTGTGAACAGAAATGAAAGCAAGAGTATTGATATATGTGGTCCATGCATGAAGAGTCGTTATGCCTTCCCTTCTAACAAACAACGTATTAATAATAGAAACAGTTGCAATATAAATTTTACCAATCTGAAAAGATAAATGTGTCTGCAAACATCTCATTACTACCACCAACTTCAAGTAGGCTGTAGTGATCGGTTACCAAATGCTGGATATATCCATTCAATACGTCACCCTGTTCAAATCGTGCTCTCCATCAATGTCAAACGGTGTATAACATACAAACTACCAATCCGCTAACCAATTGTGGCTGTACGTACATACTGAGTTCAATGAATAAACAAATTATGACCAACCACAAACGTGTGTGTCAACGTGTTATTGTCTGTGTTGATCAGTGTCATCTGAAACAGCATGAGTATATAAGCGTTGATGTGATGGTTGACTTGATATTTTATTGTAGTCGAGGAAGAGAGTCACCAATTCCTTCATCTGACGTGTGAACAATCGATCGGACAATGAGATGTATCAAGATGCTCATCATGATGTTGATAGTACACCTTACAATGATTCAGTTCGTCCAGTCAGGTGCTGATACCAAAAGTAAGTATACGTCTTTATATCTTGTTGCCATGATAGTAAGCTAGTAACCACTGATACATAGCTAAATAACGATTTCTTTCTTTTCGAACATACAGAAAAAGGGGACGGAAGTTCAAGAATAGAGATAAACCTGGAGCCTATCGATTTAGATATGAAAAAAGATGGAGATTCTATTTTTTCCAAAATTAAGAAAAGTTTCGGTATCAACTAACTATCTGGTTAAAATGTGCATTCTGACATATGAAAAGCAATTTCAGGACATCAACATGTGGTGACATAGTGGAGATTTCTCTTAAATTTTGTTTACAACTTTGTTTTAAATAATTAGTCAATAAAGATTTATGCAACAGAATATAAACACTTTTCTCTCGTTTCGTCGTTGTTTTAGATTAGTCAATAAGTGATAGCTTAATATGTATGTTTGATTGGAATTGACGCACGAACTGACCGGAAACAACTAGTCGCAACAACCATACATCTTCAATTTAGATTATATACATCATATCATCATCCGAATTAACGATTACAATGACTAATTACAGGAAGTGTAAAAGCAATGTAGGCATTGTTCAATACAGTAGTGAGTGAGATCAGTAAGCTAGGTATCTCATTATTCAAGTGAAACCTAATGTTCTTCAATGAGCAGTGTCACAACTATCCGACCCATCGTGTTCATTTTATCAATGAGTTTATAGCAAATCATCTGAAATCAACATGGATTATGGCTAATTTCGGTCAAGCTATTTTATTGACTCACTTAACAGACAATGTTATTCGAACAGTGACCATTCGCATATTTCTTCGTACTATTACGATCACTATCATATCTGTATAAACGTGTAGGTTTGATCGCATGATGAACTCTAGCTCAAATGTTGACAGTTTAGATGTCGCTCGATGATTCATTCTCTTCCTCATGTATGTATGTGCACGAATCCTATTATTAGCCTTTGCCTTGCCTAGCTGCGTCTTATTCGATTTGACTCTAAATTTGTCTCTGTATCCGCTCGCACACACACATTTGTCTCTCTGCTTCATATTCGCTCGATGTGAATATAAGTATTTTGTCCTGATACATTCGATGTTAATTGTGGTAGGCGCTCTTCGTCGACATAGTTTTTGTTGAACATCAAACGGTGAATATTTAAACATACTGTCTCACCATTTCTTCCGTTTGCAACTACTTGTTTGAATGAAACTCGTTTCATTTCCAATGTTTCTATCGAATGCAATTTCATCCGATTCAACGATGGTATTGGAAATGTGGTTTGACATTCCCTTTACACGATAGCACTGAGCACTACATTTTAGACTGCGTTCCTCCAAAGATCATCCAACTGATTTTCACTGTGCACGTATGTGTGGTTTGTGAAGAGCAACGTAAGTTGACACTATGAATTGTCTAGAAATCTGATGTATCAGTGATATGCACAAACAATCACAGATAAGCTGTATGCCTTCACACTTCAACCATCGACTTGGGCTGAATACTAACACCATGAACCTAGGTTGGTTCTAAATACAATGAACAGATCCATCAAACTTCTAGACGATCCATCGTGTCTCATTTCATTGTTCTACAAAACCTGCACATATGTTCAGAGAGAAAGTCAGGTGGATGACACACTGACCGATTGATTGAAGCTGACTCAGTATCTCCCATATTTTAAGATACGGCACTGTGATCATTGAATTTCCACAACTTTGGTAAAAGAATAATGCTGTTCACTCTTCGTCATTACATGCTGGTTGTAAAATGTGGCTCGACAGAACAATATCCAACACTGTTTCTTGCGATGAACTAATGATAGAAGTAGCGGTAACTATTCCGATATGTCAGGTTGTAAGAGAACTGAGCGTAAATACAAATTATCTGAACAACACTCACCTTGAATATCTGCAAACAACAACGAAGTATTCTCTTCTAAATGAAAGATAGAAGCAAATACACATTATAATTTACTCTGCCACTCAATTGACAAATGTACTATTACAATTCTAATTGGAATGTTTTAACTATGAGAAATGCCTGAACGACTAATGAAATGATTGATAGTGTGAGAGAAAGAAAAGAATTGTCTTGTTAATAATCATCAGATTGACAGACTACTCTGCAAAATGAACTAATAGTTGTAACGTTCTCGAGAATTTCATCAGTATTAGCAAATGTATGTGATTTGATGGTAATGTGTATATTGATTATTTCCATAGTCAATATGATCTAATTCAACATTCATTGTACCTGTCTATTAAACTCTGTTCATCGGTAATGAGATGTTATTGTAAATAATAGTACACTGGTATCGATTTGTGAATAACATTTTTGTATTGACCACAATTGTAGTTCCAGTGAATATCGGTGACGTGATGTGATGCGATCTGAGCACTAACTGATCACGTTCCCATTATGCATTGGAATGAAATGTCTCAGATCATGGGGTTCAAATGGATTCTCATCTGAACTCAGAAGTTCGTGATTCGATGTATGGATAAGAAGCGATTACGGACCTTGTCTTCATTGACCACAATATTATGCTTCTTTATTTCATTTAGCAGGACAACATTATAGTTTGTTTGTTCTAACTGTGATAAGAATAAGCCGTCACAAACATGGCCAGGGGTTTAACTGAATGGTTAGTATTCAGAAATCCTCAGTTCATTCGACTCAACATCTATCGGATTGACTGATATTTATTCAGAGATCTGGCTGTCTACTCAGAATGCTGAATGTCCGTTGTTCGGAAACAGTCAGCAAAAAAGTCAGTAGAAGAAGAAAATACACCTTCGTTTTGAGAAGTAAATTAACAAGAGACGCATGAGATGGATAGAACATACACTACGGAAATCATGAAATCGCAGATATTGGAATCCTAAAGGTGGAAGGAAAACAGAAAATCTCATGAACATATTGCGTCGATAATTGAAAACATACATGAAAAGATTGAATAGTAACACGGAAGAACTGGAAAGGAATGTCCAGAACAGGGTTTGATGGAGAACGCTGTGGGTGGCGTTTGTGTCCCCATGAGGTGTGGCAGGTGTAAGTAAGTATGTGATTGAATTAGCAAGGAGTCCAGCTCCGGAGTAGCTTGTCATCTGTTGTTTTTGAACATATTTGATTAACTCGATTCTGCTTATGGCCATGGGATACCAGCTGATTAATATAGCCGTTAGCATGCATCAGATGAGTAGAATTTCCTTCCTCACATCTATAGAAGTGATGTGAATAAAGTGTGAGTGTTTACTTAATGTGATTATGTCAGTCAGTTGGATCAATGTGAATATCTGTAGTTTGATTTTCCATTGAAGTTACTCAGTTTCGAGTAAGCCTTATGAAGAGACTGATTGATTGATTGATACTTATAACGTCAACGTGAGCTTCATAATGAACCATCCACCACACACTACACCGTGTGATTAACGTCACCATTTCGTGTTACACATCTTGCTCTTCTTATTCGAAATGAATTTTAAGCCACATTAATACCAAGTATCATGCCAAACAAAATAAACCTCTTCGAATATAAACTCAACTACAGAATATCAGTAAATAATATAACACCTTCAATAAGATATAAGATGAAACGAGATGAAGTCAAACATTGTTAGGTACATTTAACTCTTGATTGTTCATCAATAAATCAACTGATTGTGTGTAATTCTTCAACTGTAGTTTTTGACCAGCAATGCGAAAGAGGGATAGCAATCCAAATACATATCCGACAAACAAAAACGAGAGAGATAATCAGAAATTGTTGGCTAAACTATTCACAAATTAACACCAGCAACAGATTGACCATTCCTAAACGTTAGTCGAGGTCTTCATAATCCAGTCGACCAGCAGAAGAGAGGGAACGGAGGAGGGTGAAAAGACTTGTCTGACTCCGGTTCTCACACTGAATGCATCACTCAGCTGTTCTCCATGCACCAGAGTGCATTGTAATCCGTCGTTGACAGGTATACGGATGACTGTAGGTGCTGATTTGATATCCGGAGTATTCATTTGAGCTGTATTGTAATCCAAAGAGATACTGGAGAGAATTTTATTGCTTCTATCACACTCAATATGTGGTCAGTGTGTAGATTCAGCAGTTAAGCACTAAAGGTGATTGACGTATTTCAGCAAGTATCATGCTAAACCAAATAAACATCTCCGAATATAAATTCAAGTGAATATAATTAGGTGATATAACACATTCAATAAGACACTATTATTATTAATGGCTTTATTCAATATTATATTTTTGGTACAATATAGAATTCTCAGAACAGCGTATTTCAGCACACACAAAAAAAGGAGAAACAAAGACAAAAAACGTCTGAAAAAACTGTACAACCTTTCAGTTTAGAGACATGCTAGGAATGTTGGTTATTGATTAGAATACCTGTAAAACCCTGTTCATCACTGAGTATATTTGTTATGTAAGGTATTATAGAACTTTTATACTTTTGCTTGCGTGCATAGATTTTAATGTAATTACGTCTCGTTTTACCAGAAGATATACAATGAGAAAGATAAGGTTATGGGGGATGGTTATTATCTGATAAAATAACACCTGCCAGGAGTTTGCATGACTTTTGATGTCTATCCACAACCATATTAATTATGACCTCGAAAGATTCACCATACACCTTGCTGATTGTCTTCAGCACTCTCCGCAATACAGCAGAGTCTTTCCTGAAAAGTCCGGGAGAGAATTGTAGCGTGGTATCGAGTCGTGATAGACTATGAACACCACTACAATAAGGTTGCGTACAGAATATCCATAAAATCCCCCGGAAGCCAAATATCAGAAGGCAGTTAATGAACCTAGTCGAGATATATTTGCTGGCGATCTCGTGGTATCGAAAGAATACTGAGATCATGCCAGGATACAAGTTTGGTTACTGAGCGTAACCGAATTCTCGTGAGGTCACAATCGAAGTAAGTAGTAATGGATGTTTTTGTCACAGTTAAACAAACAAGCACAGTAAAACAATCACTGGTACAATTGGTTATAATAATAATTGTTTCCATTAAACCGATCGCGTTCTCTTGATAACATTATGTCACTACAGAGTAATGGAAAACAGTAAAGAACAATAGGATCTCAAAGTGGTGTTTAGATGCCGTTCATGCCTCATGCTAAAGTTGACAGCTTGACATTTAGACCGATTAAGTATAAGACCACTTTCAACAGATCAACAGTCAATACGAGACGAAAACTCATTCATTTCTATGGGATGTAAAGAGGAAAAGATAGGCATCCATACAGTGAGATCATCATCTATAGTGATGGATCCCGACTTCGACATCTGAAGACCCTATGTCATACTAGAGGTGAGGTTATGAGTAATTATGCTAGGGTTGAAGCTATCACGAGTTCACTTAATCTGAGAACGAGAAACAAGTCTCTATGATCAAATACCAGTAAGCGAGCTATTGATGAGTCTCAGCCCCGCTAACTAACGGGGGAAGTCCAAGCTTGGAATGGGGAAGTATACTCTGCAAACAGCGAGAAACAAACGATAACAACAAACACAGTTCAAAACGTTTATATTTACAGTACAAAACCGTCCTTGTTGAGGATTACCAAATAGCGTACAAAATGAGGTCCTTTTCCAAGTGAGTTCTGGGGATCGCAAATCCTCGCTAAACTATTCACAAATTAACACCAGCAACAGATTGACCATTCCTAAACGTTAGTCGAGGTCTTCATAATCCAGTCGACCAGCAGAAGAGTTCATTGAAAGGCTTGACACAATTAATTGTAAGTGATGTGCTATAACGTTACTACTCAATATGTGATGGTCAGATGAGTCAAGTTGTAAAAAATCAAAAAGAAGCACCTACCACTGCTACATTATACAATTTGATAGTTATGAGAAGACGAAGCTGATCTATACTCATGAGACATGTTCACTCAATACATAAATGATAAAATTTTACCCGAGCATTGATATTAAAAATGGATTGTAGTTATTCGCAAAGGTTCGATATGAAGAAAGATTGTTTCTGAATGTATAAGAGAAGCTTGAACAGACTTTCAATAAACTCCGATAAAATGGAAAAACATTTCTATTAGGAAATCTATATATGTGTAGTGAGCAGAACACCAGTGAGGACAATCGAATGTATTTGACCACATAATTACAAAGCATCTCAACAAAATCTGAGAACCATATGAGTAAATGGGTAATTTGTAAAATATCAATCCATCATCTCAAATCTGACCGTTTCTGTCGCAAACATCAATCCATTATTATTTGACAACACAAGTCAAAACAACAAGACTTGTCTGACACAGATTCAGACCTGATTCAAACTACGATGATTTAACCTTCTTTGCTTTTAATAAAATAGATTAGAATGATCTTCATTAGATCAAAATCCAACCACGTATTGTTTATGCTCCTCACTTGATGCAAGATGGATAAATATACAATCAAGCTTATCTTTAATTACCTAATGCAACAACAGTTTATGAACAATGTTTCTTAACGTTTTAAACTCATTACCCAGATAAAATAATTTCCAACTGTTTAGTATAAAAACTGGTACCTCAGGCCCCAGTAGCGTTCACTGAAGATTCACCTAAAATATTGAATGAATTAGGAATTAAAATTTTACGATCAACTTGTTAGCGATCCAATGAAATACGATCACTTGTTGAATGGAATCAAGCTTACTCAAAATCAATATTTGTTTGCTATTTATAAAATCATTTTCCTTTAACTATTCAATACTGATCGACCAAACATGACATTGATCAAATATGATATACATCATGAAGCACTATAGACAATATTTTAGTCCAACGCAAGGTCATTGATCGTCTGAATAGTTCAGTGGTGACATCTTAGACTGTGAAGTGATATGATACGAATCCGAATCCATTAGGCAGAATCAATTCCATTTCTTCTGGTAAGTGTAGAATATCAGCATAACAGCGTTCAGGGTTTCCTGTTAGTCATGATATTATCCAGAATACTATCCAAAGTAATGGGCTGCGAAAATGGTCATTTTTGTTACTGATAGTTCTTGAAGGATATGATAGGGAAAAGAAATGAACAAAATACTTCTGTATACATACACGTTGTAGGAAAATTCCAAAGATCATTTTCCCAGCTTTATATGGTTATCGGTGATGCACACACCGTGAAAGCTTTATTGGCATTCAATATACGAACTATATATTTGAGCTCCCATCGATTTTAATTCAATTTTTAATTGAATGGATCACCCCATAGTTTTTATTTGGACTGGACTTTGATCAGATTTAGTTCGTATATGCAAATCCTATTCAAAGTATCTAGGTATATTCATTGTCACAAGTTTTTATAGAATAGATGTGGTGTGGTTAGCAGTGGAATCCAGGAAGTTAGTTTCATCCTATTTGGAACTCATTAATTAGCTAGATGTACTTGTATCCAAACAGTGAATGTCCAGTTCGAAAGACACTGTATGCTACTATTAAGACAAGAAATCTTCCTTGTCTACTTCCAGTTGTAATCAAGACGGTTGATGTTGTCTAGAGGACCAATCGAAACCATTCAGCACTTGGTTTGCGCCCACGTGGTGTAGGTGTATACACTTTCTGTCTTCCCTTGAAATATGAAATTAAAATCGCTTCACATATTTCTTTCTGCCAACTAATTCATTCTTCCTGTACTATATCCTTATATACAATCTTTCTTTCATATATTACAAACATTGAAGTAACTAGTCCTATGAATCTATGCATAGATATACCTGGTACTACGCTGTGACTGACTGACTGACTGATCCAGCTTCAAAGGTTGCAGACTTACAAAACCAATCTCTCAAAAATAAGTTATTTGTCAATGTCACGATACGTATGTCTTTGTGGAATACGATCTTTGAACAAATCATTCCAGTCAATTTGTTTTGTTGTAATTTCAAGTACAATCGAAATGTGCTTCAATGTCTGTTTGACTTTTTGACGAATATTGTTAATCCAGGAACTTAATCCAAGAGGCGAACGTCTATTTAACAGAACATCTATTATGAATAACAAAGCCGTTTTCAATAATATACAAACAGATAAAAACATTCAATGGAATAGCATCTATTCATCATGTCCAATCATTGTCTCATTCAGTATTCCCACCGCTCGAATGACAATCGATGAATGAATTTAAACTAAATTGTGAAACGACAATTAGGGCGATGTATTCATAAGACCATAAGAAAAGAATGTACATAACATGCGACTGTTCTTCTTCACTGGATCTACACAAATAATATGCTGTGTATACAATCACCTGTAATAATCAAAACATAGATGATTAATTCATTAGTATCAGAAGGGAGTTTTGTGGATATTATAGTAGTATTATAATAGTTCGCACGCGAGATCGATAGGTTTTGTGTTCGAATCTCGCGAGGTGGAATCGTCGATGCGCACTGCCACTGAGGAGTCCCAAAATAGGACAGAACGGCCTTCCAGTGCTCTCACATTTTCCATGATGGTCTAGCTTCAATTGATTACTTCATTATTGATGTGTTCATATCAACAAATATATCGGTGAAATAATAGGCATTTACAGATATAGGGTTAACAACTTGGTAATTTCTAAACATTCATACATAACAAATGAACAGTAAGGATCTAGTATTTTGATGTATCAATTAGTGAGCCATTCAATTAAAGAAATGAGTTAAACGATAAATACTTCACCAGTCAATGTCTCGCTTTCAGCCACCCTTCAAAGTGCTTCATGATGAATTCTTGTTGAATGCTCTGGTTGGAAAGCACTAATGCTTTAAAGTCCTCATTTCTACAGAACCACATCTTGGAATGCATAATAATCAAAGGACGATTATCTGTATTTACATTTTATTATTTATTCAGAACTTACAATTAACATTGCACAGCACCAACAAATCGAGGCTACACGTAGTACAACATACTGGAATAAAGGAAACAGAACTATTAACTTCAATTCATCATGTATCTTCATCAATATCAGTGAAGAAACAGTATTACTCTACTAATTAACTCTACCGATTTTAAACTAACATGTAGCTGACTGACTGACTGACTGACTTCATGTAAGAGTTCAGTGAGTCTGTTATCCTGAATTTCGACATCATTTACCCATCCTGTCTCATGCTTGACAGTTGTCTAAACAACGAATTAGTTTCGTCAACGACTGTATCATGAAACATTCAAGTTAGTGATTCTAAGAATGTGAAATCAGTGATTGAAGATGTATTGTTCTGGTTTCAATGTAATTACCATTTTGTTACAAAATCATATGTATATAAATAGTACTGAGAATCAACATTACAAATTATAATATTGTTTCATGATGCTTTGTACCAACGACATACAGTATAAAACGCACAACCAATTGCATATATCAACCAGTTTCAGGTACTGCGTAAAGTTTGTTGAAGCAAACGTGCACGACGCTAGATGTTGAAGATATTCCAAATCGACTTCATGGTTCTAAAGCGTTCTCGAAAGTTGACCTGTAGTGGCATTGGACAATAGCCACACAATCCACAAAGCTGTGAACACGAGACTACTCAGAAAATAGATATTCAATATTTAACGCGGAGAAATACTTAACAATGGAGAAGGCGCGAACAATGAGTTGAATGAATTGGAGTTGATCGGATGTCATGTCTCGGCCATGCTGGCGTGGTCCCTGCTGAATGTTACCTTATATCTTCTATTCATATTAAATATATTGTTCTTTCTCTAGCCTAACCTTGTTCTACATCATGTATTGGTAATTGATACGATACAGTGAGTTGGTGTAGTCGATGGTGTGACTTCCACGTAAGATCTTATGGATTAGGCAGTTATATCATGACAAATCTACGAATTTAGGATTAGGTCTATTATTAGAGCAGTACTAATATCATAGTAGACCATAATTCTACATTGGTGAGCCCAACTAAAGAAACGCAACCTATTATTGTTAATCCTTATTTCCACCTTAACCTTCTCAATCGGTTTTTATTTTTGTAAACCCAGTATTCTAATAGTCCTTTGATTAATGGTCACATATATTATCGTAATGTTATATCTATTAGTTCACATAAGTTACTAGCTCAATCGATAATAAAAGTTGATCATCTATATCAACTAATTAGCTTTGATGGTTCGTTAACAAGCTTTAATAGCTTTTACTTGCTTCAGCGACATAGACTTGTTTAGACATCAAGCTCTAGCAAATATAACCTGTAAATAGCGTAAATATACATTGACTAGCAATGCAATCAAGGACTAAATAGTTATCTGGATCTAATTCTCAGTGTTCCTTCACTTAACACCTCATCCTGTTTTAAACTATGCACTATCCTGTAATATCTTTTCTTCCGACCACTGCCTGCCTAATTTCATATTTTCGAGTTCCATTGCCAAACAACAAGGATGACACATCTCCAAAAACATACGGTGAGTTCCAGCTATAAGTTTTCTGCAATCATAAGGTCATTTTTAGATGGTTCGTTCAATGACAACCACACAATTATCTGGGTTCATTCGATTGTTCTGATCAGAGCGAGTGGCAAAAACCTCAACAGCATCAAGCACCCTGGAAGTGATTGCCATACTGCATGATTTATTCTGGATGCTTTTGGATCAATACTCACGAATGGCGTTATATATGTCGTCCACTGAAAAATCTGATTTTCAAAAATAATCCAGGCGAGTTCAACTATTTTACTTAATGATTTTTTGTACTTAACATGTATATGTTTTCCAGTTGCTTTTGCCATATATTTGTAAGTGTCCCTAGGCTAAATGCAGTAACTTCTTATGGAATGTTTATAACGCGTCATATTCCTGCTTGAAGTTTCACGAGCAGTCTTAACTTGGAATTTATTTATCTGATTATGTTCATTATTTTTAAATTGTCATATACGTCAACAACCTGCATGTTAACCTGGCCCATACATACGTCACACTATATCTCCATGTCTTCTAAATTTAGAAATCATCTGAATCGCCTTTAACATTTATCAATAAACCCATCATGGTCGTTGTCGCTAATCGTATTTGGCTTTATGGATTGATTTATCATATTAGCAGCCTAAAATGCGAACATAGTTTAGATAATAAGATTAAAAATTTAGATACTATCAACTGCACTAGTAAAATAACTAAATCCCTAGGTGGCTGTTGGCTAAACAAACGTTTAAAATCAAAACTCCGTAGCCTACTAGAATTAACACTAAACGAATCTTTCTGAAATAAAATTTGTAATTAAATTAGGCGTCTCGGATTCTTTAACGTTATAAATTTCTGATAATTTCGAATCACCTAAAGCAACAATACCTATTTTTCCACTGACTAATCCTCATTCAACACTATAACTATTTAAACATAATAGTTTCAGGATATCGTCATAAAGCATTGTCATGACTTGACAATCACGTAATATGATTGATAAAATTAATGAAACTATTAACAAAATCGGTCAGCAAATCGACTTACAATTATCACTAGTGTTGTTTTTCTTATGGATTCTTCTTATGGATTAGGCAGTTATATCATGACAAATCTACAAATTTAGGATTAAGTCTATTATTAAAGCAGTACTAATATCATAGTAGACCATAGTTCTACAGAACTATAGATCGGACTAAGGACGCGTAAAACACGTGCGAGCAGTCTAGAGTCCTGATCGGTCCTCTCTCCGCCAAGGCCAGCCAGTTAAGTTCAGAACACCAGTCTAAGCCACTGCAATATGAATAATGTATTTCAAATATACTCTATTTATATACCAATCAAACAGACTACATCGAACCATAAAACAAGAAACAACATTAGTACACGATTCAGCCAAAAGCTGCTGTGAATGTGTGAGATAGTGATTGATATACAGGGAATAACTCAAGAATGGAAAGCCGCATCATAGCAGTTCATAGGTTAAAATAAGGCTTATGATAACAGACACATGAACATGAATAGTTTAGTTACTTAACGATTATACGACCAAAATATACACATAGTGGTTGTCCATAACTTGATACCAAAACATTAACGTTCATTATTCTTATCGGGACACAACAGTTTCCTACACCGAAGTAGAAAGTTATTTTCAATTTATATTTCATTGAGGAATATTCCAAACAATTCTTTGTTTTCTAATACATGTTAAACAACTTTGAACGTTTATTCACATCATTTCTCTGCCGTAGTGAAAACCACAGTGTTTTCTACCAACAATTGTACTTTCATCAAATTACTTACTTACTGACGTACTTACGCTTGTTACTCCCAATGGATCATAGGCCGCATTCCAGCATTATCCAACTTACTCTGTCCTGAGCCTTACTTTCTAGTTCTATCCAGTTTTTGTTTATTATTCTCATGCCTCTCTTAATTTCTTGGAGTAATTCATTCGTTGGTCTACATATTCTTCTTTGGCTTTGAGGATTCCAGATGAGGGCCGGCATTGCGACGCAGCTGGATGCTTCTCTTAATGTGTGTCGTATTCACTTCCAGCGCTCCTTCTTGATTTCCTCCTCCGCTGGGATCTGGTTTGTGCTCTCCCATAGTAGGTTGTTGCTGATAGTGTAGTGTCTGGCCAACAGATCCGAATTATTTTGCACAGACACCTGTTAATAAACACCCGAATCTTCTGGATGATGCCTTTCGTAGTTCTCCAGGTTTCTGCTCCGTTCAGCAGAACCGTTTTCAGTCTTCAGTAATAAGGATAGTAGGTTGATGAACCTGTGTTAATCCTGACGCACTGCTTTCCAGTGAAGGTCCAGCTTCTCCTTGAAAGTATTCACTGATGGGGCTGATACCACTTGTTCGGGTAAGGCGTTCCAATGATTGACTACTCGATGAGAAAAACGGGATCCCACTTTAAGTTTATTAGATCGTGGTTTATGAACCTTCTTGCTATGACCTCGGAGATTATTAGTGCTGGAGGGAGCAAAAAGATAAGACATATTAACACCCAAATCCAACCAACTGATTTTCACTGTGCACGTATGTGTGGTTTGTGAAGAGCGACGTAAGTTGACACTATGAATTGTCTAGAAATCTGATGTATCAGTGATATGCACAAACAATCACAGATAAGCTGTATGCCTTCACGCTTCAACCATCGACTTGGGCTGAATACTAACACCATAAACTAGATTGGTTCTAAATACAATGAACAGATCCATCAAACTTCTAGACGATCCATCGTGTCTCATTCTATTGTTCTACAAAACCTGTACATATGTTCAGAGAGAAAGTCAGGTGGATGACACACTGACCGATTGATTGAAGCTGACTCAGTATCTCCCATATTTAAGATACGGCACTGTGATCATTGAATTTCCACAACTTTGGTAAAAGAATAATGCTGTTCACTCTTCGTCATTACATGCTGGTTGTAAAATGTGGCTCGACAGAACAATATCCAACACTGTTTCTTGCGATGAACTAATGATAGAAGTAGCGGTAACTTGGCACGTGTTTCTTGGTAGCGGTGTTCATAGTTTATCTCAACTCGACGCCACGCTACATGTATATATATGATCTACGATGTATAATATGTAATCTCGGATGACAATGTGTTTCATTGGGCATGTCAGCTGATAAGTAACAAGAAAACGTTACAAATGCTGCGTTTTTTACTTGGAAGAGTTACTTATTTACATTGATATATTCCAGGACACACTGGTCATATAAACAGATGAAGAATTTTCATACATTGGGATTTGAATTTTAGTAGTCCAGTATATTTTGAATCGTGAGTAAAAATCTGACTGGCCTAAACCGAATTGACACTCGTTTACATGAGAAACCAATTGAAAAGATCATACGATTAAATACTGTCAAACGTGTCATTATTGGATATTGTGACTCATTGTGATTACATGCTGGTTGTAAAATGTCGCTCGACAGAACAATATCCAACACTGTTTCTTGCGAGGAACTAATGACAGAAGT